GAGGCGGCGGAGCCGGCCCCGGAAACTCAGGGGTTTTAGGCGTTTAATTAAGGTCAGATGAGCATTTTTTTTAAATACCTATTATTTTGTGACACTGGAAGGTCACTATTTGGCGTAGGGTCCAGGGGGCGGAGCCCTCCAAAAGAGGGGTTTTAGGCATTAAATTACCGTCAGATGAGCATCTAAGGGCCCGCCGTAGGGCCCTAGGTGGAATCCAGGGGGCAGAGCCCCCGAAAGCTTTGGGGTTTTAGGCATTTAATCACGGTCAGATGAGCAATCAATATCAGTACGCCAGTATCTCCTCTTTTCCTTTTTTTCTTTCCCTTTCCTTCCTTCTCTCTTATTTTTTTGATTGGGGGGGGGGGGGGGGGTCAACAGCTTTGGAGGCAAGGCCCTTTCGGCCCCCCGATCTCCTTCTTCCCCCTTTTCTTTTCTTCTTCCTCTTCTTTCCTTCCCTTTCTCTCCCCTTTCCCTTTCCCTTCTTTTCCTTTTTTTTCTCTTTTTTTTTTTTTTTTTTTTTTTTTTGCGGGGGGGGGGGGGGGGCCAAGGCCCGCTCGGCCCCCCCCCCCCCTGGATCCGCGCCTGCATACATCAGAACTGGATACACATAGCAATTGAGTACGCGGAGTCTCGTTTTCATCTTCAGCTTCTTATTCTTACTATTAGATGTTTTCTAACCTGGAGAAAGTTGACTTTGCAAGTGCAATCCTTCTATTGATTTCTTGCTCGCCTCTTGCATCGTCTGTAATTGAAGTCCCGAGGTAATTAACAGAGGTGGCTTGCATTTTTTGATTGATGTTGATCTTAAGAGAGCATGGTATTCCTCCCTTCTCTGAAATTACCATGCATTCCGTTTTCTTGTAATTTAATGATAATCCTCTCTTGTCACTTTCTCTGACGACATCATTCAAAAGTCGCTGCAGGTCCTTCTCTGATTTTGCGATTAATATAGTATCATCTGCAAACCGTATGTTTGTGATATTATGTCCTCCTACTTTCAATCCACTTTCCTGTTCTAGGTTTCTAAGTATCAACTCACTGTAATAATTGAAGAGATCTGTAGACATGACACATCCTTGCCGAATCCCATCCAGGGGAGGATCCCTGGGGGTATTTTCGGCGGTTTAACCCCCCCCCCCCTTTGGCGGCCAAGTTAAAAAAGAAGAAGAAAAAACCAGTAAAACGGCGCGATTTTTAGAAAATCCTGGATCCGCCACTGGGTCAACCCCCCCCCCCCCCTTGGCAAAAAGATCAAAAGCTAGACCCGCCCCTGCCTTCTTAATGTTGATTTAGTCACTTAATTCTGTTTCCACTCTAACACATACTCTCTGCTCCCAATGCAGATTTTGCAATAACTTTACATCCTTTGTGTCTAGTCCAATCTTGGTAATTTTTTGAATAACTGATCGTGTCTAACTTTATCAAAGGCTTTTGTATAATCGATGAAACATAGGAAGACGTCTTTTTGCATTTCTACGGCCCTTTCTGCTATAGACCGCAGAACAAAAACAGCATTTCTAGTTCCGGCATCCTTGACAAAACCTTCTGAGAGCAGATAAAACCAAACTGCACATTACTGATTTCTGGAGTTAGGTGATTCCTTGCTCTTTGAAGTTTAAGATGACCTTTGTGATATGACTTATGAGGCTGATGATTCTATGTTGCCCGCATTCCACTGCTCCAGGTTTCTTGGGAAGTGTAATAAATATCTATTTGTACAGGTCATCCGGAAACTGTCCATCATCATATATCTTATGATGACATCAGTTAGTTTTATGACACCATAGTTTTCCAATGCTTCGATCATCTCCATCACTACTCCATCTGGACCAGCAGCTTTGTTCCTCTACATCATACTGATCGCTGACCTCACTTCTGAGAGCAGAATCCTAGGTCCTTCAATAGATCCTGCACAGTGTGGAGGTTCTTTTCTTACATCGTCGAAAAGCTCGACAATGTACTCAGTCCATCTGTCCAGTATCTCTTCCTTTTCAACCAGTACTGATCCATCCTTTGCCTTAATGCATCCCAACTAGGGGCTCTGAAGTTTCTTTCCAGAAAGGTCATTTACCTTCTTAAAAACCATGGGATCGTTTGCATTAAAACTGCTCTCTATATCGGCGCACTGTTTGTTCAACCATTCCTCTTTAGTTCTTGTGCAGTGGTCGTGAATTTCTTTGTCCAACTCTCTGTATTCGATTCCATCTCTGTCCTTGATCTTCTGCCTTTTACTCATTTTTGCTAGAATCTCTTCCGTCATCCATCTCTGTTCTCTTTTCTTTTCCTTTTTAGGTAATGTCTATTCAGCTGTTTCCACAAGTATGTCCCTCATTGATTCCCAAGTGACCTCCTCTCCCTGGTCGGTGAGGCTATTAAATCTGTTTTGTACTTTGACAGCATATTGGAGGCGAACATCACGATTCTGTAGCGTAGCTGTTCGAAATCTACCTTCTGGATTGACTTGGCTTTTGTCATCTTCTTTAGCTTACATTGCAGAGTTGCCACAACAGGAATGTGATCACTCCTACAGTCTGAACCCGGATATGTTTCAGCTTGCTTTACATCTCTTTTAAACCGTTCATTTATTGTGATGTAATCAATCTGATTTCTTGCACGATCCCCAGGGGTTCTCCAAGTATATATCCTTCTTGGATACTCCTTGAACCATGTATTGACAATGATCATTCATTTGGCCTCACACAACTCTACCCATCTGTTACCCCCTTTCATGCATTTCTGTCTCCAATACCATATGGCCCTACTGTTCCACCATATCTGCCTCTTCCCACCTTGGCGTTCATGTCACCCATGGCGATTACAATTTCATTTGATTTACATTGTGATTTGGCTGTCTCTAATTGCTCATAGAAAATGTCAATCTCTTCCTCTGTGCTTTCCGCTGTGGGTGCATAAACCACTATTATTGTCATATTGAAATGTTTCCCTAGTAATTTGATCTACAAACCTCTGTCGCTGACTGCCCAAAAACACAGAACACAGGTAGCCGTGAATGGATCTAAAAGCACCCCTACACCTCTTTCATGTCTGACTCCTGAATAGATCATCCTATGTTTTTCAACTGTGAATTCTCCACTGCCAGTCCATCTTGTTTCACTTATGCCTAGAATATTAATTCTCATCCTGTTCATTTCTAGCACGATGTTGTCCAATTTCCCTTTCCAGGTGCCGATGCGCATGATGTTACGGTTGCGTACAGATGCTGAATGATGATCGAGTCCCATCTGTCGCACATGGGAAAACCTACCGAGCGAGGCACCTCTAGATTTCTAGAGGTTCCCTTCACGCCGTTTCTCTTTGACTTTGAATTGTGACTATCCATGGTATATCTTGGGAAGAATAGTGGTTTCCCGTTCCCTTCCTCACCGCAGTGTGGTGACCATGGATATCTCCACGTGAACACCAGTTCTGAGAGATGCCGTACGGTTGTCCGTGATATGATCATCCGCCTGAACTCTCACTGCATCGCTGCTGCCCAATGCAGTCCCTTAATAGTCGCCTTTTACGACACGCAGGGAATACATTGATGGAATTCTATGGCACCCACTCCCAGGCATAAAGTTTATGTATAGAATTTCCCGTCCATTTTAACACATTGTTCATTCAAGTTCATCAATCTGGACTTCAACTTGGACTTTCGATGTCAATGTGCGAAGGTCAAGCAATTTTAGCAATTTGTTATTCACGTTGGTCAATGGTCATACAGTTTTAACACCTGTCCATTCAATTTTGTCAGATTTATTCAAATTTGTCTCACCTGACTGTATGCAGAATGCATTTTTCGAATTCGTCTTTTTACAATTTATTTCGAAATTGTGTCATTCATAACCGTCGGATAGACAAGAGCGTTTATCGAACAAGTGTCCCAGGGAGGACAGGAGGGACACGGACGGTGCCCCACCCCCACTTTTTCATTTACCACCAAAGTGCCCCTTTTTACGTAGGATACGTGCCTTTGCTGTAAGATGAGTGCCTCTTTTCGTAATTATTGCCCCTTTTAGCCTCTATAAAAGTACCCTATTTTGATCTGATAGACGCCCATTAAACTTTGATAAGTGCCACTTTTCGTTTGTAGTAAATGCCCCTTTTCCCTTCTTAAAAGTGTCCATTTTTACCTCAGATAATTAAGAGTCGTTAATACTTTTAAATGTACATCTTTCCCTTCTTACCGATTGCCCACTTCCCTTCCGATAAGTACCCCTTTCTATCTTGTAATTAGGGTCCCCTCCCCTTTCTCATGAATGTCTTTTTTCATCTCTGACAATTGCCCCTATCCGATTCTAACAGGTGCCCCGTTTACTTTTGTAATACGTGCATTTTACCCTTCTAAGCAGTGCCTCGTTTGATCTCTGATGAGTGCCACTTTTCAACTCTGATAAATACACCAATCAAAATAAGAAAGGTACCCCTTTTACTTCGAAAAAATGCTCCTTTTATTTTGTATTAAGAGCTCTTAGAAGTGCATCATTTCACCCCTGAAAAAATCCTATTAAAATATGATTGGTGCCCCATTTACTTTTTAACAAGTGCGTTTGGATTTCATTTAAATTCGTCGCACAGACAAGATATTGAACTAAAACCGCCAAAAGGTCAAGACAGACACTTCTTTCTTAATTCATGTATACCTCCTTCAAAATTAAATAAGATATATGAAGAAAGAAATGGGCCTACGTATTTTTTATTGGCATCTGTAATATTTGAGAATGAAATTGATATACAATATGTTATTCGTTTTGAAAAATATAGAAATTCCTATTATTGGTGGATTGGTGCCCACACTACTTGTCAATGATTTGCATGAATTGAATTACATTTGTGTTTAATCGTATGATCAACATGATCTTTATCGAAGCATTGCGCAATTATTTCCAAGGCATAGTCAAAACTAAGATTGTGAAACAAGGAAATACAGAATTCAGTTAAAGCCGGATTCGGATTGATATTTACGATAAATCGGGATTTAAACACTGTCAGTTTCTTTGATATTCATATCGAATTTTTCCGAAATCAGTTTTTGTGGCCTGGATTGATTCTTTTGTATAAAACGTATTCAATACATAACTATGTCAAGCTCCCAAAATTTCTTTCCCTTGACAGACGTAAGGTTTCTGCTTATCTAAGCCAATGGCAAGCCGTGCAAATCATCCACCCAGATGTGCCGAGGGAAAAAATAATTTTTTCAAGCAACCAAGCGAATCTGACAGCTCTCCACCAATCAGAGGCCATCTCAGAATATTATCAATGCGCGCTGGTCGGTAACGCATGCATTCTATTGGACAGTGGATGTGGTGACGTCATTGACAAGTTCGAATTCGTCATCCGAATGAACCTCGCTCCTCCCGGAGGAGAATTTAAGCGTGACGTTGGGTCGAAGGTCAATTTAGTTTCCCTCAACTGGGAGCAAATTGAGAGGCTTATATCTTGCACGAACTCCAGCTATCCGCCTGAATGGAAGTGCAAAAGCGAAGACCACGTCTGTCTGAAGGAGCGCAAAAGGAAATTTCCGAAGCCCCGAGCCCCTACTCATTGTGATGACCTATTGAGGAGAATGAAGCGATTAAATGGTACTACCTTGTGGTATTTCAAATCTATCGGCAGAAACTACGACGCTATAAAGAGGATGCTAGGGATACTCAAACCGAAATACAACATAAACATCGATTTTGCTTATAGCCCTATCAGCCTTATGACGCCTTCCAAAAAGTAAGCTGTACACATTGTTCAAACGATAGACATAATATAAATCAATAAATGCTCCTGTCAGACAGAAGAAAAGTCAGAGTTCAAACAGAAAGGCATCTCGAAACTCTTCCACAGTGGTTACACGAACTATTTGGCCAGTAGTCATAAAGATGTACTAATTTTAGTCCAGGTCTAAACTCCAGATCACTGACTAGATATAGTCCATAGAGTTAACACGCCTATGTAAAAGCTCAATAAGTAATCAAGGATCTAGAAACAGTAGAAACGAGACATAACCCATGTAAAAACTCAGTGGGAGATTTGGTCATTGAAGAAGAAAAATCCAACCTCAACTCATTAACACGCCTATGTACAAGCTCATTTAATAATTAAAAATGTAGAAACAGTAGAAATGATTATGCTGACTATTGCTCGGTACAACCCTGTTACCATTAAATTAATGAAACAACATTTATTGTACGACCAAAGGGGTACAGCTGGTAAACTATTACAGTTTTGACATGTAAAATGTATGTATTCAATTTAATCTTACACAGTGACACTTTATACACAAAGAGGGTAATGGTGCGGGTAAACATCCCCTACACACGCTTTCTTCATATGCGCCAATTTCGTGTCACCTCCAACTAATAAATTCTGCTGAAATGATTTTCTTTTCTATCCAGGGCATGGAAAGTCGGATTCCCGTCATCCGGTCTTGCAATCTACTCGGCTGCTACGCAATTCTGCAAGCAGATAACCATGTTCGGATTCTACCCTTTCTCTCAAGATTGGAGAAACCGAACTCTACGGCATCACTACTACGAAGAGGGCACGATGAATTACACTTCGAATCAACACCACATGCCAAACGAATATCGAATCTTACTCGAGTTAAACCGAACCGGAGCAATTAATCTTGTCAACGAATGTCGATGATTGCTAGGTTTTTATTTCTTGTTCAAATTACAATTCTGAACGTTAAAAAGTATTACTCTTATCAAATAGAAGTTTTCACAACATAAAGTTGAAGGATTGACAAAATATATACCTGTAGTACGTGTCTAGTTTTAGTAGTATATAGTTGTTGGTTTATTTCACTTTAGGGTTATGGTTAGTTTTAGCGGTTGGTCTAGGGTATAAGATAAGAGTTGTAAATTTAGTGTAGGAAATTAACGTGGAGCAACCGTCGCATGCATGATCAAGGATCGCACAACCGAAATTCCAGAACATGTTTTAGGCACGAATTCATGATTCGCAATAACGACAGATTTTGTGTAGTGGCGGATTCAATGGGAACAGGGGGCAGGTGCCTCCCCCCCCCCCTGGTTAAAAAAAAGGGGGAAAGGGGGAAGGAGGAAAAGAAAAAGGGAGAAAAGGAGAAAAAGGAGGGGGAAAGAAACAGGAAGGGAAAAAGAAAGAAAAGGGAAGGAAGAAAGAAGGAGAAAAGAGGGAGGGGAGGAAAGGGGAGAGGAGAAAAAGGAGGGGGAAAGGAAGAAAGGGGAAGAGAGAGGAGAGAAAAGACGGAAAAGGAAGAAAGGGGAAAGACGGAGGAGAGAAAACTTGAAACTTCAAACTTGAACTTGGATTCAAAAACAGTTTGGGAAGAAATTAAAACATTGGTAATAGAATGTATGATTGAAGGTTTTAAACAAAAAAGAATTAAACAAAATAGCTGTTCTTGCGTTGTTATATAAGAAAGGAAATAATTTTGTTTAGATAAATGGAGACAGATACAGTTACCGAACACCGATTTCAAAATCTAAGCAAATGTTTAATGTAAAAGACTGGATTATGTCGGTCTCTTTTGATCACTCAGGTCTTTTCAGGTAACGTTCCGCTATGCAAAATTTACGTTTAGTCCAAAATATTGTCGAATATTGTGAATCTGGTAACTTTCCTGGTATCTTTGTTTTTCTTGATTTAAAACAACTTTTGATATCATGATTAATTATGATTTTTGTTTGTTTTAGTTATGATATAAATTAATTTTTAAAGAATCAATAATTGACTGGATCATGGTAATGTATACTTATGCGATGGGAATTGTTATAAATAATGGCTTGATGTTTTTTTTTTTTTAAGTCAAATGAGGCGGGGAATTAGACAAGACTATCAGCTTTCTGCACTTTTGAAAATCAAGCAAATTAATTATATATGGTATTCCTGTCAATTCTCTAAATACTGATAGTAAGTTTTTTTGAAGATATCACAATAAGCTAACGATGCTGTACTGTTTTTGTTTACTGTATTTGACGCAGGCATGGGTATGGTAGATTTACATTCCAAAGTTCAATCCATGTATTTGGCATAATTAACATGGCTTTTTGAAGAAAAAGAATTTAATGCATCTCAGAATTACATTTCTAAATATTGGATTGAAAAAATATATATGATATCTATGTTTATTTGCTTGTATCCTGGAGTGAACTTAGATATGTTGATTTTTTGCATGTAGGAAAAAATGTTTAAAGTGTAGTATTATGGTATAATAGCAACATGTAACACTAACCAATACAACATTGTATTTTGACAAAATTGGTTTACCGAGGGTATATTCTTTATTAAAGATACTGTAGAAAATTGATATTTTGTATCTCGAAATCAACTTTGTATTGTACTTGGTTCGAACTTATTTTTTTCCTCTTTACCTCTTCAGAGGGACTTTATTGTTCCACTTCAAAATACATATATATTATTTACAAAACAAGTAAAATGAAACATATGAATTATATACCAGATCAACATAATTTCTTTAAATGATCACTATAACATTTCTAATACTTTCTTTACTTCTTCATGTTCGAAGTATCTTATATTTTCTTTAAAATTCAAATAACATTTTAATGATGAAATAAAATTTGTATTAACCTCTTTGGATTGGTTGGTACTTTCCCAAAGTTCCGCTTTACGTAGTCTTTGTATATTACCAGTTGAGCATAATTTATCAAAAAATTAAGTAAAGTAATTTTCTGTTATCTTTTTTATATCCAATCAATAAAATTTTTATATCAATTTCAATTTCTATTTTAAAGATGAAATATATAATTCTTGAGATAATTTTCCAGAAAACTCTTAATTTCTTGTTACGAAATATAAAATGTTCAATAGTTTCTTCTTCACGACAAATTTCACATTCGTTAAACTGTACGATTTTCCATATAAAGAGATTGTCTTTAGAGGGCAATATCCTATGAACTAATTTGAAATTATATTGTTTGATATTATTGTCTCTTATCTTATTAAATTCGAACTGAAATACATCTTTCAATCAAATGTTTCTGGTAGGCCTAAAATATTTTGCCAGAAATGGAGACCAATTTTCTCTTTTTTCCTTTCTAGCATTAAATTATAGTAACTTTTCGCTTTAGTACATTCAACGTTTATAACATCTAAAGTTGTCTCAATTGGTTCGAACTCATTGTTTGTTGACTTCATTCGAAAGTTCATTCGAAGATCCATAAAATAGAACGCACGAATTCATGCAAAAGTTATTCAGCTTTATGACGAAACAGGTGTTATAAACGGTTATGATATTTACTTTATTAAAATCAGGAAAGGTGATGCTATTAGATTGACAACAATGAAAACAAAGAGTCTATTGTGTGAATTTAAGAAATGTATTCAAATTGTATTAGGGCATTTGGAAAAACAATTCAAACTTCCTATCAATTCTGACTTGACAAGATATTGAAATTAACATTTTAAGTAGTACAAAACAATAAAATGAAACCGTTCAATTCTAAAACACTTCATCGTATACTACCCTTCATGTATGTGAAAAATTATGTGCATTTTGTAAAAACAACAAAATCTTTTGGTTATGTTTTGTTAAATTGCACAAAGGTAATATTATTCTTGAAACGCTTAGTTGCATGTATACACCGTAACTTCAAACAATCACTGATATTAAATGAAAAGAATTTGATTCTTGGCATAGACTTCAATTGTCCAAATACAAAATATGAAAATATAGTAAGTACATATGCACAGTACGCAGTATATAAAATATATATGTTAAATTAGTTTCAATGGAAAACGTACTATAGCTTTTCGACTTGTCAAATTTTTTAAAAACGAAAATCACATTGTCAAATGCTCTTTAACATTTTACACAGTGAATTTTTACTGAAAATAATATTTTCGCCTTTTTTCAATGTAAAGTAAATGTGAATTACGAATCGTAATCCTCTTAACGTCACTGTTGCTGTTGGATGTATCATTTTATAAATTCTGTTAATGTTATTAATGTTGTTGAACTGTGAAATTATTGAATAAATCACTTCAGAAGAGGAATATAATAAAGAAATTATCACCTTGATTTACATATTCATCTATGGTAACGGAGAACATGATAACATTATTTTGCTTTTGAATTTCCTTTATCCTTATCTTTACTGTTTTAAATGTGTTTAAAGAACTCTACCGAACATGCAAGTGCACTTTCCATCCCATGTTGTGTTGTTTTTTCTTAAAACACTCGATGAAAATTGATTCCCTAACTTTAAGCATATTCCAAACTTCAGGTGTCTTTGGCACGGTTTTAATTTGTTGGTATGTAAATACGTGTACGAGTTTTTTAAATTTCTGTTTACCTCATCCAGCTCTCCCTTTTCCACCCTTCCTCTCTACTTCTCCCTTCCTTTCCTTCTCTTTCTGTATCTTATTATTTCTTCCTTTCTATGAATTCCTCTTTCCTGTTTTTCCATATCTACACACTCACCTTCCTCTTTTATATCCCATTTATCTTTTTCTGCTTACTTCTGATGACATAAATTTGAACTTTTAAAGGTAGTGTATCCCTTTTGCAGCCAACATCAAATTCTGTTGAAATTTGCAGAAATTATGAATATGTCACGTATGTCCTATCTGTGAAAATTAACCGTTATTAGTGTTCTAATATTCAAATTATGCAAGGAAATCCGTTTATTGTCTAGACTTCAATGTCAGACACTTCTGAGTGACTGACTGACTTTTTTCTTCTTCTTTGGTAATAACATACAGAAAATGAGCTGAAAAGGATACATTTGTCTACATCAAAAGCCCACTTCTTGTAATGGCCAAAATTTAACCGCGGATTGATTCTTTGCGCAGCACAAAACGTACGACCATTCGGTACAAGGGTTTGAAACTCAGACTATTACTAAATGGATTGCAACCACTATTAAAAGTCGACTCGACAACTAATGCTCGTTATTTTCCCGTGTAAAGACATTTTAAAGCCCTTTCGTTTTGAGGGAAGTTCTAAATTAGTTTTATTTTTCAAATGCCGTTGGAATTTAATCTTTCCACTTTGTTGCCCTGCAAATGGGACACAGTACCTTTAAAATGTTAATTGTGATATTTGAGGAGCTACATGTGCTTCTATCTCTCTCTCTCTCTCTCTGCCATATCGTTTGACTTTGGCGATCATGCTGTTCCACAACTCTCGGCTCCCAGCCTTCTGTATTAGTACCACTCAGTTCTTTCACTTCTCTCTCTTCCAACAATTTCTGCAGACTGTCCATCCAAAGTATCCTCCTTCTTCTCCTACTCCTTCTACCAACAATTTTCCTGTAAAAGCAAGATTCTCTAAGCCTTCTTTACGTGTAATGTGACACATGAACTTCAACTGCCTAATCAGCATCTGACGTTTCAGTTTCCTTTGTACACCAGCTCGTGTAAGAACTTCCTCATTACTAACTTTGTCAGTCCAGGGGATTTTCACCATTCTTCTTAAAAACCACATTTCGCAACTTTCCAAACGCTTTTTAGTATCAGAGGCTAAAGTCCATGTTTCACTACCATACATAAGTACTGGGTATATGTAACAATTCAGTACTCTTATTCTGGTCCTCATACTCATTGTTCGATTTGTCAGAATTTTGCCTAACTTTGAAAAAGCAGATTTGGCGAGAGCTATATCCTTCTCTTGATCTCTGTCTCACATCTGGCATCCTCGGTGCTACATTACCTTTATTTCGACATAATGATCGATAATTGGTGCTTCATCGGGCAGGTAGTTCCATTATGTGAATGGGTAAATTAACTATTACAAAATGAGGGGACACATTACATTGTACAATAGGGACACACATTGTTTTAATTATGCAGAACATACTCTTTTATTGACTTACTTATTGCATGAAACTATAAAACCAAAATGCATTTTGTATTCTAACAATTGGAGTACAAAGAATAATAACAGGTGAATGAAATGCATAAACACCACAAAGACCTGGGGAAGAAGCATTCATAAATTTGAATACATATAGTTGATAAACGACTCCGATGAAACCATAAAACCAAAATGAAATTTGTGTTCTGGCAATT